TGTCTCGAGATCCGCGTCCGATCAAGATAATTTTTAACTGGCGTATCAATTTTCTAATGTAAATTTTTATTACAAATATTTTTTAAATAAAAAAATTCGAAACTTTTATGAGACTCAAATAATGTTGTACCCCCATCAGCTGAACTGAACTATAATTTCATGCGTAATTTGTTTTCAATTATCAACCAATCATTTCAATAATTTACATTCTAGACCTTATTGAACTTCTCGTTTGTCTTTTTCTCATTTTGAATTGTTGCAGTACGTAGCCATGGCAGTCGCAGTAAATTCGGTTGTTCTTAGTTAGCTTTATGAAATTAATTTTGTTTTATTCTAAGAAAATGTAGAATGCCATTATTTTTCTCTTGGCCTATTGGTTGAGAGCTTAGGCTTCCAACTAAGAGGTTCAGGGTTCGAGTCTGTGTATGCGTTGTGTGTGTGAGTTTGCCTTAAATGACCTAAATGTCCCAAAAAAAAAAAAATTTATTTTTCCCGTGCACACAGTGAATGTTATATTGTCTATGAGTAATGAAATTGTTGCGTGACACTTAGGCTTCGTTTGTTTTTTTGGTGCTTTTGTAAAAGGCAGTTTTACAAAACATTAGTTCATAAAATGGAGTTTTCTAACGGAGAAGCATATATAAAAAGCTTTCTCAAAACTGTAGAAAAATGAAAAAAAGGAGTTATTGGGAACGTGATTTGACGAACCAAACAACACAAAAAAAAATTTCTCCATTTTCAAGAACGGAAAAGTCAAAAAAACGCTCAAACAAACAAAGCCTTATTTTATAACAGTACTATAGGCTAATTTTATTTAGTTAGGCATTAAAAACTATAACACTTATAAAATTGTACTTAATGGAATTTTATCACATGATGAAACACCAGAAAAAAAGTATTTATGAACAACATTTGAATCATTAAAAAATATACAGTTGTTGCGTCCTGAAATATTTGTGGTGATAGAGAATTGTAAAATTTAACATCTTAGTTTTGTACGAAGATGCAACACACAATCAATAAAAAAGGTGTAGTAATCATAAGAGGCCATAGCTTTTACGTGGAAGAGGGGAGGAAGCAAAGAAGAGAATAAAGAGAGAGATAATTTAGAGCTCTCTTGCCACCAGGTTAAGGGTATGCTGGGAGTGATTTGAATGGACGGCCGATATTGATCACCTTGATCTTTGACTATTTATTTATCTTTTGAGTGTTTAGAAATGTCATAATTTGGCGATCTTGAACTCATTGGATTCATCTCGTCGAGCCGCTCGATTCCACTATAAGCATGACATGTTTGGACATCATTTGGTAATCCAATTTATGGTTTGAAGCTTCCAAAGGTGATTTGAGTATTCGATTTGGACCCATTTGAGCTCAGATTGAGTTGAATTTGATGTCGTTAGGTTTGTCTTTTTGAGACGTTCAGTTCAACTATAAGTTTGCTGAAATTAGAGTTCATATGGTTCAATTTTAATTTTGAAAGTTTTCAACTTAATTTGCCTCAAAATTCATGCCAAATTAAGATAATTTTTTGAACATATTTCAACATTAAAGGTCCGTTTGATAAGAAATCTCATCTAAGAAGAAAATCAAGATTATTATTTATAAGTTGCTCCCAAATAATTAATGTTTAGTTATATGAAAGAATTAAAATTTTGAATGCAATACTTATCAATACTTGGTAACATAATTTAAAATTAACTTTATGAATGATATGTATTGTTTCATGTCAGAAAATTTATATTAACAGAAAAAAGTTTAACGTTTTAGTTTTGTATGAATTTAATATGGTACACAAATAGTGAAAATAAGAATGCATAAGATACTAGAGTTTTATGTTGAAAAAAAAAAAAAAAAAAGAAAATTTCGGAGCTTGATCTAGCTAAAATAATCTACTATATACTTAATGTTATAGATTTATGCTCTTTTTCACATTTAGATGAGACATAATTACATAGTTGGAAGCACTTATTTGAACTCTTGTACTTAAAATATGGATTGTGAGAAAAGTGGTGAATGAATGATGATGGCAGACGAACAACATTAGTTCCATGACGATGGTCGGATGAAGGCTATTAGATGATGGGAATTGAACTATAATAATTGGACGATTGTGATTAGAAAATGATGGTCGAGCAAAGACGATTGAACGATAATAGTCAGACAACCGTAGTGGTCGGTGATTATCATCGAGGTTGAATGCCCAATAGAGCTCTTGACTTTTTTAGATTTCTAAGCTCTCTATCCAAGCTCATGTCTAGCTCACGCTGATGTGAAGAATATTTTTATTATACTTCAAATGCTTGTTTGCGCTCAATTGGATTCAAATTGGATCACTTTTGGTGTCATTGGATTCATATTGTTTAGACATTCAATTTAACTATATATTTGCTGAAATCGATGTTTAAGGTTTCGTTTGGAACGATTTTCTTAATACTTCTTTAAGCAGCTTTCTAGTACATAAATTAACTTTTTTGTACTAAAAATCTGCCTTAAGAAGTAATAAGAAAGTAGTCCCAAATAAAACATGAAAGATCATGAATTTAATCATGAGAGTTTTTAATATAAAATAATGCTTGCATATATTATGATCATTTAATTGCCAGTGATTGAAATTTTAACTCTCAAATCTTATCAAATGCTTATCATCAGCTTATTAAGGACATTAATTATTGTGACTCTCAAGTCTCTATAGATAGTGATTTTTAATGAGATGAGGGAAGGTGGTATTTTTCATTAAAAAGGGAAGTTGGTCGTGTCCATTAAGGAGAGGGAACGTGGTGGGCTACAATTCATTATAATGAAGAACTTCAAATTCCTTGCAATCTTAATAAATCTTCTTTAATATTCAATCCCATTTTAAGCTACACCTAACAACTCCCAACGTAACTTACTGATTTACATATTAAAATAAAGGGATTTTTACATACATAACACTTAAACTATCCTAATTACTTATCTAACACCTAAACATTACTATTTACATACATACCACCTAAATTCAATTACTCTCCTAAGAAATACCACTCCGTTAACTCCGTGCGAACGCTTCTCCTGCGTTCGGCGGCGCAAAATGACGCCGGCGATGTCGCCGCAATGCACGCCTTGTCTCTTAGCCTCGGCGCGGACCGAGCCCTGGGATGGTCACAGTCATCCGACCTCTGCTCATGGAGCCGCGTCACCTGCTCTAATGGCCGCATCGTCGCCATCCATATCGGAAACCAGAGTCTCGCCTCCCTCACTTCCCTCCAAACCCTTCTTCTCCACAACAATCTCTTCTCTTCGATCCCCGCCTCCTTCTTCTCAAGCCTCACTTCTCTCACCGGTGTTTATCTGGACGACAACCCTTTCAAACCATGGCAGATTCTGGCTTCGCTTCGTGACGCCGACGCTCTTATTAATTTATTCGCTAACTCTGCTAATGTCACCGGCTTCGGGATAATCAGTTCACTGGTCATGTTCCTAGTTCACTCACTTCACTTAAATCACTCTCCAAGGTCACTCTCACAAATTACTTCAAATTTCTCTTTACTCAGAAGCTGACTCCCATTGAACTAAAGGTCCTTACTAAGACCTCAAATCGATTGTGCAAGCACTCGTTAGCCAGCGCTGGTGATCTCAATTACCGGGCCATCTCCGTCGTTATTCCAAATACCAACACTTCGACATTGCTACCGCTACATAGAACCATGACCAACGTTGGTCGTCCGAATTCGACCTATCATGCAAAGATTTCACCGCTCAGAGGAGCAGAGAGGTGGTGGTTGAGCCAACTGTGCTTCGCTTTAGTCGCCAAAACTAGAAGCTTTCCTGCACCGTGAGCTTCACTTTTCGGATCGAAACATTTTAAGCCGCTTGAGCGAAGGGTTCGCACGGAGTTAACGGAGTGATATTTTTTAGGAGAATGATGGAATTTAGGTGGTATGTATGTAAATAGTAATGTTTAGGTGTTAGATAAGTAATTAGGATAGTTTTAAGTGTTATGTATGTAAAAATCCCTAAAATAAAATATTACACTTTTTTATAACTTGGAGGTTGATGGCGTAAGGAATTGGTTTGAAAAACCTGATGACATCATTTTTAATGACAAATTTAATTATATTTTAACAAATGTGCCCCTGAAGATCCCTCAATCTGCCATTTGTTGAAAGCGCGAAGGTCCATACATAATATTTGGAAAAATGATTGCAACATTAATAATTTCTTTTAAGAAAATTTATGATCGAACTTTATTAGAGAAATTCTTATAAAAATTATGAGCATTGGCCCCCCAATATTTATTAATTACACTGATTCTCACAAAACAAGCAAGTTTTATCAGCCACGCGACTACCTTGCCATATGTACCGAAAAAAGCAACGCCCAAAAAAAAAAAAAAGACTTTCAAATCTACCCTTAACAGTTACAGGAATTACCAAAACGCCTTTTCATGACGGTAATCTCGTAATTCCCGCTCTTAATAAGGCGTATTTTAGTCATTTTAAAACTAAACACCTCTCCATCCTTTGTACTTTCGCTCTCGCCGTCCAAACTTTTTCATGTCTCTACCCGCGCTGCGGCGCAGAGATAATAATAAAGGAGATTAATTGCTCAGAAACGTAATTAATTCACCCGATTCTTCCTCTTAAAATATTAAACGATAAAATGAAAAGAAAAATAATGCTGATTTCACGCCAGCTGTCCATCTGCTCAACCAGTAGGTCAAAGCCTCCTCCACCGGTCATGTCCGGTCAACTTTTTCCTCCGGGGATTCCACCGGAGGGAGGGAAGAGTGAAGCTCTAATTTTACCTTTTTTTTCATTTAATTTTTTGCCCTCTCATTAATTCCTGGTTTTCTTCTTCGTCATGGGCAGTTGGAGCTTCCTTCTGCTCATTAATACAACCTTTCGAAACTCGCTGCTTTGTCTCTCTAAACTCGCTGCTTTGTCTCTCTCTCCATAGCAGAGATACTATGCTGCTTTATTTCCTGTTCTTCGAAATATAAAAGCTGGCCACCGGCAATGCCGGTAACGATTCGACAACGGCGGCGCTTACTTAGATCAACCGATGCTAACCCTACTCCTCCTCGGACGCTTCTTCGGCCGCGGCGAGTCGACCCGTGCTCGTCATGGGTTGGTGTTGGCTGCGACACTGGCGGGCGAGTGGTGTCGCTAGACCTCTACGGGCTCCGGCGGACTCGACTTGGTCGCCAGAACCCTCGATTCGCCGTCGAAGGGATTCAGAATCTCACCCGGTTGGCTTCCTTTAACGCTACTGGATTTACGCTCCTGGGCTCTATTCCCGATTGGTTTGGAAGCCGCCTACCGCCGTCGCTTGCCATTCTCGACCTTCGCCGCACGTCTATTTACGGGGACATACCTTACTCCCTCGGAGGAGCCACTGGCCTCACGGTGCTCTCCCTAGCGGAAAACTCGGTCACCGGCAGCATTCCTCCCACACTAGGCAGGTTGAGAAATCTCTCATTTCTCGATCTCTCCCGGAACTTGCTCTCTGGCGATGTGCCCGCAGAGTTTACGGGCATAAAAAACGTCACTTACCTCGACCTCTCCTCCAATTTCATCACCGGAGTAGTGCTGCCGGAGATCGGAGACTTGTCGAAGTTGGAAACCTTGATTCTTGCTAATAATAGCTTCACCGGCTCCATCCCTCCGGAGCTAGGGAACGTCTCTTCCCTCTTTACACTTGATCTCAGCTTCAATTCGCTATTCGGTGCGTTACCTGATAGCTTGAGTAATCTTAGCAATTTGAGACATCTGAAATTGGGGAGCAACTTCCTCAGTGGATTTCTAAGATCGAATATCTTCTCTGGTTTGTCATTGCTTGAGTCGATCACATTGAGTCGAAACAACTTCTCCGGCGAGCTTCCGGATTCACTGTGGTCGCTCTCAAAGTTGCGATTCCTTGATATCTCCTACAATAACTTCACGGGCAGTCTGCCGGAGCTCTCCTCTACCAATGCTAATCGCAATGCAATTGGTGGTTCAATTAATCTTTCACATAATCTTCTGTATGGTTCGATCTCCTCTGGGTTCGCAATCCTGCTTTCTAGGCTTAGTTATGCGGACATATCAGATAATTATTTGCGAGGTTTTGTGCCTCGTGATGGTACAAGCAGGATTCTATCTGTCAAAATGAATTGCTTTCAGAATGCTTCGAGCCAGAGAACCCAAGCTGTCTGCGAGCATTTTTATGAGGACAGAGGGATACCATATGATGATATTGTGAATGAAAATTCACCGCCTGCTACTAGCCTCAGATCGAACTCATCCAAGAGCTACAATGCCTGGAAGTATATTGTAATAGCAGTAGTTGGTGGCACTGCCCTCCTTGTGTTAGTGATTATTTCTGTTATGCTGTGTTTTAGACGGTGCAGAAGCCTTTCATCCGAGCAGAGGGATGGGAGTCAGAATGCTTCTTCATCCATCCCAGGAGGAGGCTTGACGCGGCCTCCTATAGTTGCTGTTAATTTGCCAGCTGTGGGAGTGGCCTTTACATTTGAGCAATTGGCACGGGCAACCTTGGATTTTGGTGAGGGGAACCTAATCAAGCATGGAAAATCAGGAGATATCTACCATGGAATATTGGAAAATGGTATAAATGTGATTGTTAAAAGGATAGACATGGGCAGCGTTAAGAAGGAATCTTATATGGTGGAATTGGATTTCTTTGCCAGTTTTTCGCATGAGAGATTGGTTCCTTTTGTTGGTCATTGCTCAGAGAATGAGAATGAGAAGTTTCTTGTTTATAGAGAAATGCCTCATCGTGACTTGTCTAATGCACTTTATAGAAAACCCTCACCAGGGGAGGAGGGCTTACAGTCACTGGATTGGATAACAAGGTTGAAGATAGCGACAGGGGCAGCAGAGGCTCTCTGTTTTCTGCATCATGAGTGTGTGCCGCCATTGGTTCATAGGTATCTTTTTAATTTTCCTTGGTACCTTTTAAGGCATCTTCATTTTAAAGGTTAAAGACGGTTCTCTATGACCTAACATTGTTAAGATAATAGTTGTTTTATGGGATTCAAATTTGTTTGAACTTTCAAAAAACTATCTTGTGTTTAACATTTTATCTTTTGTACTTGTAATTAGACTTTTTTGCTTCAGCCATTTTGTTTTGTTGGCCATCTCTTCATTTATACATCACTATCTTTCCCCACTTCAATATAGATGTTGGCTATGGAGTGTTCCATCTTCGTTAAGATAGTGGATGCATGTTTCATTTTGTTTGGGTTTCTTACGTCAAAATTATAATGCATATTAGGCGCTATTGATGTGAAACATGTAGGAGTTACTTGAGAAATTATAATGATTAATTGACAAAAACGTGCCAATATAGAATTATTGCTTGCAATAAAGATAGATTTCAGAATTCAAAATTTTTAACTTGCTTAGGCAAAGAAGTGCTATTCAGATTAGCCGAACAATTTATTCAAAAATCCAAAAGAATAGTAAATGTTACATGCTCATAACAAAACCCAACAATTAATAACGAGAAGTTCACCTTGAGCACCTTCTCACTCTTCCACTCTTAGGCTTTAGCGGAGAAAGAAGAGCCCTATAAGGAAGGAGATTACCACTAGGAAGATGGCGCCGAAGACCTTCATTTATGGAGAAGTAGCCAGCGGTGGAGGAGGCGGCGGGTGACCGATGATGAGCCAAGGTGTCTTGGGTTTTTGAAGATCAATCGTCCCCGCTAGACAGTAGAGGATGCAATTGATGTAGTCTTCCACCGATTCGTCGTACTCCCAGTCGGGCTCGTAGAAAGGGGAGCGGAGAATGTCGATTTTCCCGATGGTGTTGTAAGCGAGGCCATGATCGACCTCAGGATCGACCATGCACCAATAACGATGAGGTTGGGAGAGGAGGACGCCTTCTTCTCTTGGCTTCAAATCTCATGAGCAAACTAGGGTTTCCCAAGAGAGGGGATGCAAGGGAAAGGGGGTGGCCAAAGTGGGGAGAAGGGGAGGGGTGGTTTGGGTGTGGGCTTGGATTAGGTTAGAAGAGGAGAGAGGGAAATTAATGAAAAACATGAAATTAATTTCAGATTTTTAAGTGGATTTGGCGGGATTTAATTTGAATTTTGAATTCAAATTAAAGTGGGAGGGAGCCTTAATAGGAAGCAATGAGATTGAGCCCATTAATGGGTAGGCCGGCAGTATTAAGAGGAGGGAGGGAGTTGTGGGGAGAGTTTTATGAGTTTTCAAAACAACGCATGGGAATTACGAAAGATGTCATGAAATCCAATTTAATTTGAATTTCAAATAGACTTGAATTTATGCACTTTCCTAATTAAGATTTGCAAATAAGGAAAGTTTTTTAAATTTGAATTTCAAATTTTAAATTGAGGTAATTACTTTCCTTTTTTCTTGGAGCTAATTTAGGAAGGGAGTTATGAAGATTGAAATCATCATAATGGAAGGGTTTAATGGGTGGGCCGGCAGTGGAGCTTGAAGAAAGGGTTTCGGCCGGCAGTTATGAGGTCTTGGTCGGCGGTGGGAATCTGTAAGGGTTTAGCGTCAAAGGATTTAAGGATGGCGTGAAGGTGGCCGGTGGGTTGGGTAGAGAGGTATGTGGCTGGCGGCTTGGGAGGAAGCTAGGGTTCGGTGGGTGGAGGAAAGAAGAAAGGGGAAGGATGAGATAGACCACGAGCCACGGACTCTTCCAATGACTGGTGAGTATTACACTCGCCCTTACCTTGGGCTCTCTCTCTTCTCTCTAGTGCACACAAGATGAAGAAGACAAACATAAAATTTTCATACAAATATTCATCATCCTTTTATAAAGCATAATGCCACTATATATAAGCCTCCAACATAAATAAAAGCAAAGTACACAAATGCCTTTAAGGCTACAATAAGAAAACACTCCCCATAGGGGTAAACTCGTAATACTGAAAATAAAATAAAAAACATCAAAAGTAAAGACTCTGAATCGTGGCCGTCAATCTATGATCTCTTTGCCGGTACACATGTCGGAATCTCTGAGCGATGTCGTCATCATTCTCCTAAGGTGGGAAGAAGCTCGACCCCGTCGAGTAATCATCTCTAGAACTCTCGTATCACTCTAAAAGGTCTGGGCCTTGTTGCGGATCTATGGTTCATGATTTTGATGATAGCAAACATTTCCTTTCAAGAGGGCCTAACATCCCTAACGAACTTTCAGGCCTATCCTCTGCGGCTCATCTCGATCAATCCACGTGTCCTGTGTTACCGGGGTCCCTTTCCAGCGAACTAAGTATCTACGACATCCCCCTTCTTTTGTGGAATTAATCTCGTCATCCAGTATAGTTTCTATCTTCTCCGCATGGGGTAAATGTGGCAAATTGGGGAGTGGGGGTAGGCTAGGGATCTCACCAGGTAGGGTCACAAAAGCATTGTTGTTTATCTTAGAAATTAGCTTAAAAGGTCCGGCGCCTCTCGCTTGCAACTTCTTTGCAGATCCGAGAGGAAGACGCTCCGGACGGATTCACATCATCACAAAGTCTCCAACTTCGAATTCTTTCAACCTTCTTTTTTTGATTAGCAATAAGTTTATAATGGGCATTGCTTTGTTAAATCTTTTTTTTAATTTCTTTATGTAACTCATGATGATGAGATGCGAATGTAGATGCAAGAGACCCGGTGTGCATAATGAATGACAACAATTGTGGGCTTACACCAAAGCTCTAAACAGAGACAATCTCAATAGAAAACAAACATACAGACTCACAAGCACACATAGATAGGGATAACGATGGGTTAGTCACAAAATGAGGGGATATAAAGTGTTCAGGTCTAAGGAAACTGGTGTAGGAGGAACAATGAAGACAACCTTAGCTATAAGGGCATTTTTATAGGAAGTTTCAGCTAGGGTCATAGATAGTCTCCTAGGGGTAGCAATGTAATCTAACAAATTCATCCAACTAAGAGAAAAATGGTCCTTAACAGGGTAGGACGAGAATATAGCTGGCAAAATGAATGAATCCGGAATAATATAAGATGGTGGGTCATGAATCATATCCATAAGGGGATAGCCCAAAGAGTCACCAGTAGGTATGCGACTTAGAAGATGGGGTAGAGTGTCTAGAACAAAAGTGGGCACAACAGTCAGAGCGGTGACATGAAAGTACGGGCAACTACTCTCTCTAGCATTAAAGTTGGTATGAGAAATGGTGAGGTAAGTCCAATCAAGAAAGATACACTCGCTCAATTGTAAATCTAGAGGAGCAACTCCTAAAACAGACTCCACTAAAACAAGAGGAGGCTCGTTGTTCAAATTAGGTTCAGAAACTTTCAGACTCAAATCACTATCTTCCGAACTCATAGTACTATTCTCAATAGAATCAGGTTTGGTTGTAATTCTAGGATTAATGGATTCAAGGTCAATTAAATCGGGAGTTAAATCAGGTAGTAAATTTAGTTGAACCACTTTTAACTCAAGATTATCCATGTCTCCATCAGAATTATCTGAAATTAAATCAAACTCATTCAGAGTCATCTCAGCAGGAGATATGATTAAATCAGAATCTTCCGAATTTAATTTCAATGTATTCAAGATAAATCAGTTTCTTTCGAGATCAACTTAATATCATCTAGGCAGACCTTATCCAAAGGGGTATCCTTGAGGAGACTAGGTAACTCAGGGTTTAAGTTATGCAGGGAGTCTAAATCAATCAGTTTAGTTTCATCCTCAAAGAAATCCTCGTTCTCCATAATATCTTTAGTATCCACGAAATGGATGTACTCAGTTTCAAGTTCAGAAGACTTTTTCTTTGTAATGCATTTTTTGGTTAAAATGACACTGGTAGGGTCAAGGACTGGGGAGGCCAAAGGTTGGGTAGCCTCAGAATTCTCCTTGAATTGAAAGGTGGTCAAGTCATCCACGAAGTAAGGTAAATCGGAAGTCACTACGCAGAGAGGACGCGTGCTCATACAAGGTTGATTGGGATGGCTATGAGTCGGTCCAAGTGGGGAGTCATATGGGACCGATCCAACTGAAGACCCAATAGAGGGTCGACCATAAAGGATAGGAGAAAACCTATAGGGTGGGGTAGCAACCCTGATGTTACTAAAGGATGGGTGCTCTTGACCACAGGTTTATCCACGATTTGTCCCAACAAAAGAGGTAGGGTGGTGCTCTAGATGACGATCACTAGGGGTAGGGATCTTGAAAGTGCAACACCCAAAGGTTTGATGAACAGGGGGTAACCTAATGATGTAGAACGATACATGCGAAGATGAGTTGCTTAGGAAAATTTGCACGCTTAACAGTTCAAGAACAATTCTAAATAAAATTTATGCCAATTTAAACGCTAAGACAAAATAATGAGGCGATAAAATAAGCTTAGGCTAAATTACATGAGTGGAAGTTAAGATTGTAAACTAGTCAATTACCATGACGTTGCAAACATGATTGGTTTCAACAAAAATCCTTTTCTTAACAACAAGACTTGTCACTATGTTAGAGTCTGCTCAATCAACTCTCTAATTCTAAGGCTTTAGCGGAGAGCAATTAACACCGTCCTCATGAATCTATTAAAACCACAAGTGAGAAGCAACTAAGAGGATAAAGAGTTGGGAGGATGAGTTACCCCAAAGAAACAGGAAAGACAGCTCCGGTGGTTGCTTGGGTGCTTGAGAGGAGGTAGACAACTACCACAAGCCTTCGAGATGCAGCAGGACAGCAATCTGGACTTTAGAGGCAGCGGAACAGCAATAGGAGGTTGCCATGTTTGCTGGACAGCAACTTTGGTACTTGGAAAATCCTGGACAGCAGATTTACTCCTTGGATAACAGCAGCTTGGCCACGTTGGAGAGGTCTTTTGGACAGCAGATACCTCTTGGAGATGCAGGACAACAATACAGAGTTGCTGTAATTTCTTAGACAGCAATTATAAAACTCCCAAAGAGAAGGAATTTAGTGGAAGGGGCCTTTT